TCTCTGGGAAAGCGCTCCTTTCCCTGCGGGGCCCTGCGGCAGGAGAGCACAGCCTCCCTCCAGAACTCAGGACTCTTGTGGACTCAATTATTTAAAAGCTGGGGAAAATGCACTTGATGATGAATGACTATAACGCTAGTAAATAGAGCCATTTCATACGTAACGTGTCATTCGTTCATCTCAGCAGCTCTGTGGGTCACAGAGGCTTGTCCTTTCAACCCCTCTTTCTCCTCCCTTTGCCCAAATTCCCCTGAATCCAGAAGCCGGGACTCCTTGCAGTCCTGTGTGCGGTCTCTAATTCCGTCTGCGGAAGAGCCGAGAAGGATAGGAGATGGATCGTGCAGGGCACAGGGTCAAAGGAAGTAACGTGAGAAAAATCCTTCTGCTACAATTTCAAGTAAAAAGAGCAGGATTCAACATTGCCTGTACGATATGGCAGGACTATAGTCAACATGTGCATGTGCCTAGAAAAAAAGGACTTGGATGAAATATTGCACAGTATTCACTACAGTTGTTTGGGAATGTCAGGATTTGGGATGATGTTTTTACTCTGAATTAAAAAAATTTTCCCCCATGATTTAAATCATGAGTATTTGTGGCCGACTTTATTGCTTTGTCCGATCAGTAGGGCATCTGAGACTTTTTAGAAAGCTTCTTGCCTGGCTTCGGCCCTGGGCTGCTGCTGTGGGCTGCCCATCACTGCATCCCACGTGCTTGTTGGAGGGAGGGACACACACGTGACCCAGACTGAGCCACCAATGCCACCCCATCCCTTGACCCCAGTTCAGGGATGGGCGTGGGGCTCACGTCAGGCTACACCTCGCCCTTGCTCTGGTCCTAGGAGGGAGAAGAGGAAGGCAGACAAGAGCCAGAGCGACGTGGTGTGAGAGAGACTCAACGCGCCGCTGCTGGCTTGGAAGGTGGTGGGGAGCAGGAGCCCGCCATGCCGGCAGCTTACAGAAGTCAAAAAGGCAAGAAGGTGGATTCATCCTGGAGTCTCCGACACCTTGACTTGAGCTCAGGAAGACCCATTTCAGACTTCTGACTTCCAGAACCCTATGATAATAAATTTGTGTTTATTAAATAAACTTAGGTTTGTGGTCACCTGTTACCAACAGCAGTAGGAAACATGCAAAAGGGAGATTCCAACTCCTAGAGCTTGTTCAGGATGCCAAGGCACAGCTGCAAGTGGGTTGCACGCCCCATTTGGGGGAAATTCAGGGGAACCCCACCTTCCCCATTGCAGCCATGATACTCAAGGGGAGTTGCCAGTCATGGTGCTTCAAGCACACAGCTCAGTTCCAACGGGACCCACAGGGTCCTGGGATTATTACACTGAAGCTGGGGGAGACTCAGTCTCTCTGGGGTGGCACCCACGGGTCATCTTCCAGCCATGTCCCGTGGGAACAGTGCACCTGGGGGAGAGGGTCCTGCTGTATGGGAGCCATCAGTGGGCAGAAGGTCAGCTGCAGGGTCCAGAGCAGGTGCTGAGCCCCGGGGCCCTGCGGGAAGGGCCAGTGCTGGGAGCACCCCTGGCCCCATCTCCACCTCACGGACAGATGAGTTGGAGCCAGTCAGGGTAAGGAGAGAGGAAAGGATTGCAGTTCCATGCGTGTCCCTGGAAGAGGTGGGGTCACATGTCACTGTCATTTGAAGGTTCGCTCCTGGGACAAGAGAACAAGTGGGGCCCTTGTACCACAATGGCGATAACTAAAAATATCACCAATCTCACAAGCTCTTAACAAATTATGTCTCATCCTCCTCATTTGAGACCTATACCCTTGTAAGAACAATTTAAAAATATGTTTAAATGCATTAGAAAGTAGACGTATGTTAAATATTAATACACTAAAACAAAAACGTTATAACATATTAAAAATGTTTGATTATAGTTTTTCCATGATGGAAAGTTGGCAAATATGAAAAATGAGCAAATTTAATTATTATTGTATATATCTACATGGTCTACATGGTCAGTGATAGATGGGTGAGTAATAAAATCAAGAGATGCATAATTCATAAATTACATAGTCCATAAAATTCATATTGCAGTAAAATCACTGATTTTATTGTTATAGTGAATATTTTCACATCATTTACATGTTATGTGGAATAATGCCAAATTAGACTTTTTTGAGTTACCATGGTTTTTAGTTTTCATTAATTTCAAATTGGAGGATGCTTGCTCTGTGAAGTAGCAACTATTCAAGTCATCAGTATAATTCTGCATACAACACTTAGATTCCAAAATGGACCATGAATTACACATATCATGTTCACATATTGTGATATGAACACATGATAAATTATTGCAGAAAATATAATTCAATCACATAAATTTCTAACCATTATTTAACGATTTTACCATCTCTTAAAGCAATAACTAGATTGACTTAATATTAATTTTTTTCCTTAAAACTTTTCAATCCTGAAATATTACAAACAAAACTGAAAATAATCAGTAAGTTGTTCAATTTTTTCATGTCTCTACTCACTTGAACTATCCCTTGGTCCACAAAGCCCAGGAAGTATTCTCTATATAAATGAATTTGGACAATATCTTTATTTAGATCTTCATAGTTATCTAATTATTTTCATTTCCTTGTTCAAATTTATTTACATTTCTATGGAATGCATATTTTGCATAAATTTTATAAGACAACCCATTTTCTGTAAAATTTCCAAAAGATATTTTCTAATAATCAAAAAATGAAGTACCTACACTTAAACTGTTTTTTTTTCTTTTGAAATCTTCTGATAATATTAATAAGAGCAAGCAGCAATATACACCAAACAGCAGCGGATAATGCAAATTAGAAATCTATTATATCTTCCACACGTTTGCTTTTTTGGTGACTCTGCGGTTTTGCTTAAGTCTCTTCATGTTTAAATTAAACCCAGTCGCTTGGCAGAAGTTAGTTAGCTTTCTCCTTGTATGTCTGAGAAAAGCTATAAGGTCAGATTTGATACTTGATCAGGTTGTTTCCTTCTGGGCAGATCCAGAAAATACCCTTTCACACTTGTGTAATTAGTCTGAAGGACACATCACTAGGGGCCGACTTGAGACCAACTGTCTCAGTAACAAATCAAACTAGGCGCCTCTGAATTTCTGCCCAAGATTCTGGCCCATACACCTTTTTCTTTACCAACTATGTGCCATTTTCATATTTACTCTCAGTGATCTTTCAGATCAATACCTAAAATTGAAAGCTATTTTTCCAGTTCTTTACTTAAATCAAAACTGTATTTCTAAGGTGTGAAAACAATGCAATATGTTCTTGTTTCTCCTTCAACAATTGATAAAATAAATGTTTGTTGTTCAACACGACTTTCATCAGTGGTACCATCTAGTTGCATTGAGTAATGTTTACTTAGGTTTTTATGTTATGTATGACTGATTTGCTCACTTTATTACCTCTTAAATTAATAATCTCATTTTGAATTATTCATTCTAGATAGTGATTGTTCATTTTATTACTTTTATCCATCTTACTTTTTTGGCCATCCTAGTATAAAAGTTGGAATTATTTCTATTAAGCCTAAAAAATTTGTATTGCTGTCTATAAACAGCGGGCTTTTAGTAAAAAGCACCATAACTCTTGGCTAAATATTGGACTCAAAATGTATTTTTCAGAACATCACAGCAAAGTTCTAAACTGGCATTTACTTGTCCCGGGTGAGCACTGCTGCTTTTGTTACTTACTCATCCTGTTTTTAAATTTCTTGTACTTGTGTCTATACTTTTTCATATGTATGTGAATGACATTTTGTGTTGTTTTAATAAAAATCCAAGTGTTTCTAGTCTCAAATAACTCCTTTGGCTGAAGTTGATCTTGAAATTTGGTTGTGAATTATGTGACACATGTAACAAAGTTCTTGGTCTATAGCCTTGGAGTACGTAAGCCTGCTTTTAGAGGGTCTTTCCCCACTTGACAGATGTTAGTGTAAAATTAAAGATGTTGGTATGAAATTCAGTTTTCTGCTATGCTCATCCAGTGAAAATTACACTTGCTAATTTGAATCCGTTGAGTTTTGCATGAAACAGTCTCACGCTGTCAAAGAGGTTCCCGTGCCGTTTTTAGGCTCACCCTACAATGAATGAGGGAAGCTCTAGACATGTCATCTTTCTCACGTGATTTGATGATTTCATGAACGGATTTTTCTCCATCTTCTAATGGACAGGCCAGCATTCTGCGTGCTGCTTCTGGGTTGTGAATTTGTTATGAACAATCCTTCTTTCCATTCTTACTGCTTTGATTGGTAATTAAATCCTCATGTAGTGAGGAAGATAAGGTTCCAGGGATTTCGTCTGACCCCTTGAAGTTGTGTATATTCTGAATAGAATAATTTTCTTTGTTTGGATCAGTAATTAAAACTTTATTAAATATAGAGTTTGTAATGTCTTACTAGCCAATTTATGTGGGTCATGCCTGACATAGACTTTTCACTTTCACTGTTTCTGGCTATAAAATGTTAGGCAGATTATTTATTTGAAGGTGTTCTATTTTTCTTTTTGGAGCTCTACTTTCTCATTTTTATTGCTGTCATGATCTTGCCTTATATTTATCTTCAGCAATTTAAGGATTAAAAGTAGAATGTAGTTGTAACCCAAGTAAATACAAGTTGAATATATTTATATAAAAACCAAAAGAAAGCGAATGTGACAAATAACAAAAACACCATTATTTTTCATAGGTTTTAAAAACGACTTTCTTTTAACATGTTAATGTGGCTTCAAATTAAAAGGGACATAGAAAAATATCATTAACAAGTACAAAGAGTGAAACTTTTTTAAGAGATGCATTTTTATTTAATTTTGAAAATTTTGCTAATCTCATTAGTTTACCAGAATAGCATTACTTTCAGTTCAAGTATCCAATGCCCATGTAGTTGCAGCCACAGAAGTTGGCACCGTGCTGGGGGCGTGTTACATCTGGATCCACAAATATACACGTTTAAGAGTAATATGAATTATTTGCCTACTGCTAAATGTTTTTCAGTACCTCTGGGCCACAAGTTGGAAGACAAAGAGAAACGGACAGTGGACTCTCAGCTCCCCAAAGAATGCTTCATTACTCAAGAATCCCCTGTGTTCATCCTACCTAGGGGGATGGATTCGCCAAGGTAATGAATTCGTTGTTTATCTTCCCCACATACTTCTGCTGCTCAAATCCTCCCCTGGTCTGAAGCTGTGCCTATTCCCAACATCCACAGGCACAACCCCAAACCTTCACGGCATCCGGGCTCAGGTACTTTGTTGTTCCCGGGACACAGGGCAGGAGATGTGGAGAAGCGTGTTCCTCAGTTCTGCTGTTCACCTGAGCGTGTGTTCAGGGTTGCAGGGGGCCCTATACCAGTATCACCTGTCACATTGCCCAGTGACAGATGCCCCCATGTTCTTTAAAGCATTCTTTGTGTGTATATCTGGGTGTGCAGGGCCTCAGGTTCAGAACTGAGGACAGAGGCCCCTCTTGCTTGGAAGTTAGAGTTCCATACATTTATTTAAACTAAGCTGCATTTTGAGTAGCTCCCAGGTAAGAGGTACTGCGCTAGGTGCTGGAGTCAGAGTGGGGCACTGAGAACGTTTTTGGGGAGGAAACAGGGAAGGCTGCATGGATTGGGGAAGTGTTGGAACTGTTTCTAAAGAGTGAGAGACCCCCAGGGAGAGCAGAAGCAGCAGGACAGCCTATGCAGGGAGCATTTTGTGCAAATGCTTGAAATCCCAGAAAGGCTTTGACATCTCGGTGGTTCCTGGCTGGAGGGCAGGGTTCCAGGAGGCCAGGGATACGCACGACCTCCGGAGAGGTCGGGGTGGAGTGTGGCAGCCTTGCTGTCAGGTGCAGGGGTCTGTGCTGCAGCCTGTGCCATCCGCACGCTGTGATCAGGAAGAACTTTTTCTCTGCTTCCTTAGATCAGTGCTTGGGGGCCTGCAAATTAAACTGACAAAAGGCAGATGAGCAAGAGAAAAAAAACAGTTTAAATTACATAGATATACATGTGAGTTCACAGAGAAATGCAGCTCAAGGAAGCAGTTAGAATTTGGGGCTCATGCACCATATCAAAGTGGGTGGGAGGGGCAGAGGGCACCCTGGGAGGAGAGATGACATCTTAGGAGAGGGGAGAAAGGGCACTTGGGGAAAAGCCAAGGGTTTTGGGGAAACACAGCCTTGTGACAAGGTGTGTTGGTGCCGCGTCAGAGAGAAGAACACCACCGCTCTGAAGATGTGTGAGCGCTGAGGGTTTCTGGGACGCTCTGCTTTTAGGCAGGTAAGAGATTTCAGGAACCCAGTGTCTTTAGCTCCAAATAACTTTACAGTGGTTTCCTCTGAACTCCTTCAATGGTGTGGAGATGACTTTGAAACAGGAGAGACTAGAGAAGACTCCCCTCTCCCCAGAGGACTGGGTGAGTGTGGGCAAGGGACACTGAGGCTTAGATGGATGCTTCTTCTTTAGTGGGCACATGGCACATCCAGGGATTTTGTTGAAATGCTGGTTCTGACTCAGAAGGTCTGGGTTAGGCCAGAGAGTCTGCATTTCTGTCGAGCCCCCAGTATTGCTGATGCGAGCGGGCCGCGCCTTAAACAGGAGAGCTCTGACCGCAGCAGCAGGTGGGGGCGGGAGGGTCGTGACTTTGGCGGCCCCGCAGCAACACCTGGCCTGTATCCTGAGCAATCACATGCCCGCCTTCCGGGGGTGGACTCAGTATTGGTGTCTTGTAAAGCTCCCCCAGTGACTAAAACTTCAGGTAGGCTTGGGCATCAGTGTCCCAGATCCAGGATGGGCTGAATTTACCCTTCCATAAGCCACTCCTCTCCCACCACTGTGAACCGTGAACTCTGGCTCAGGGGAGGGCCTAGGACGGCTCTGGGGAACTGATGGGCAAGCTGAAGACAATGCCTGGTAGGATAGAAAGGATGACCATTTGCGTCTCCCGTCTTCTTCGCCGTTTTTGATTTTGCTCTTACTTGGAAACAGTCTTTGCATGTCTCATCTCAGAGTCAGAAAGCAAAAGCAAAAATCTGCTGTTGTTTTCTACAGTTGGGTAAACATCCTTGAACCCTGAGCAGCTGCTGTTATCCACAGAAGACTGAGCTAGGCAAAAAGCGAGAATGAAAAAACATTGTTTCCTTTGTTTTAAAGAATGTCAGTTGCTTTTTCTAATTACAAAAATTATACAGGCTGATTGTAAAAACATCCAAACATGACTGACAGGTAAAACCCAGAAAGGGGTGGTCCCCAGGATGAACTTGTGTTACCTTAATTTCCATTAAAAAAAAAGGATACAATCAGAAAGCCAGGCCCCGAAGCTCAAACACAATTAGAACTGAAAACAGGATTCTCATCAAGCTCCCACCGCATTGTCGACTTTCAAACTTTCACAAATGTGAGGCTGTTTTCATCTTCTCACCTGGAGCGATCACTACTTAATGGTAGTGATTAACTCTCCAGCTCAGAAGGCAACTGGTTATTAAGTAACAGCCTCCTGCCATGTTATCCTTCTCCAAAACAATGCGCTCACCAACCGCAGGGTTCTCATTCCAGCCATGCCTTGGCGCCGGGGCAGGTGGCACAAACAGATCCGTCCCCGACCAACCCGTTCTTCTCGCTTGAGGTTTAAGAATAATGTTGCAACAGACAATTTCCAGTGATCAAACTCGCTTTCTCTGGTTAAAAACCGACAAGTTTGTGCTACTGATGAAATGTTAAGCCATAAATCTGTTAGTGGAATTAAGGAAATAAAATATATTTTTAAAACATTGAATTGGCACGACCAAGGGACATCTGGGGAAGATATTAAAATTTTGCGGATTCTTGAGCATGCCAGGGGGAGAAGGGAAGGAGAGGGGTACAGGACAGCAGAACGAGGCAGCGGTTTGCACAGATCAGAGACGGGAACCGAAATTGGGCACGGAGTCCGCCCTGGGCCAGGACATGTGTACCGCATGAGACCTGTCCTTTTCGTCAGCACTGAAGAGGGGATGGATCGTTTTGGACGTATCTCAAAGGGACCGGGGGCCGAGACGCAGTGCTTGAAGGAAGAGCGCTGGGCTGAGGCGGCGGGTGGTCCGGCTCGGACGCTAATTTCACAAGGAGAGGGTAATTCAGTGGGGTGGTGACGAATACTACCAGAGAGGCCTGTAGAGGGGATATTTGGGCCAAAATGAAATCCTCTCATTTCCTCATGTAAGGTTAGGAGAAAAGCTTCATCGGGTGACGTCTGTTTCATCCCTTTAACACTCAGGAACCCTCTCTGTACCCCGTTGTTACCTCTGATGCAGTCATTCTGTCCTCCTTCACGGTGTGTTCCGAGCTCGGGCTGATAATCAAAGTCTCTGCTTGGGAACAGCTCACCTGTGGTGACAGGGGACTTTTCAACCTGAGTCCAGTTCCCCGTAATACGAATTACTTTCGGACCTTCCCTTCTGACGAAGGATTCCATTTCGCTCGGAGGAGCTGAGCTGATTCAGGATCTGATCCGAGTCAAGATCTGCCGTGAACTCGCAGCCCAGTGAATGGTGTTTGCCTTTTGACTGCTCTTTATTTACTCTTCGCAGTGTTCTGTTGGTGTTCTAGGCACAAAATGGTTCCCATTTAGCCATTTCTCATCTTTCTGAGCCACTGCCTCACATGTAATGCATCAGTGAATTCATTCAAGCCACAGACCAGCTATGCTGATTTTGAAAGTAAGTCAGAATCAAAATACAGAGGAGTATGTCCCTCGTGGGAGATAGGAAAGGGCCGTGTATTCTCATATCCACTCTAGTCAACCACAAGTGCCTGGATAATTCAGGTAGGAGTGGGGTCTCCTTCCACCTAGATGACCCGGGTAATTCAGGCTGTGAACTTTGGTGCAGTCTGGGAGACACTGATGACAAAGGACTCACACACGAGTCATCAAGTCATAACTAAATGCTTTACAAAAATTGCTGTCATCAGAGGTCTTGATTTCTTACTATTTGTGGTGATCAAAAGCTCATCGTGAAAGCTCTCCAAATACGTTGTTAAGTGAAAGATGCGATGTGCAGAACAAAGTATATAACACACCACCATTTATCATAAAATTTGGGGGAGAGGAAGCTAAGCTTGTTGGCCTGTTAATACTTTAAGAGCTCTGCAAGGAAAAGGAAACAAAAACACAAATGTAATAACCCTGGCTCCCTGTTGGGGGGAATGGGGAACTGACATACTTTGGGAACTTTCTAATGTTTGAATCACATGAATGAATCATTTGGCAAAAAAAATATTTAGTTAAAAGATCTTCATACCAAATGATTGGTGAATAGTGACTAAATGAAGGAGAGTCATATTTATTTATTTATTTATTTATTTATTTATATTTTGGTATCATTAATGTACAATTACATGAGCAACATTGTGCTTACTAGATTCCCCCCATTATCAAGTCCCCACTGCATACCCCAGTATAGTCACCGTACATCAGCATAGTAAGATGCTATAGAGTCACTACTTGTCTTCTCCATGCTATACTGCCTTCCCTGTGCCCCTCCCAACATTATGTGTACTAATTGTAATGCCCCCTTTTCCCCTTCTCCCTCCC